TGTCCCAGTTCCCTCTGCAGTTCCCTGTCCCAGTTCTCTGCCCCCAGTTCCCTGTCCCCAGTTTCCTGTCCCAAGTTCTCCTGGGGGAACAGAATTGGCCCTCAGTTTTCACGCCCATTTCCAACGCAAAGTAGTGCCCAGTTCCCTGCCCCCTCCCCACTTCCCTGTCGCAACTTCCCTGTCCCCAGTTTGCTGCCCCCAGTTCCCTGCCAGTTCCCTGTCCCAGTTCCCTGCCCCCAGTTCCCTGTCCCCACTTCCCTGTCCCAAGTTCCCTCTCCCCCCCAGTTCCCTGCCCCCCAGTTCCCTGCCCCAGTTCCCCGCCCCCAGTTCCCTGTCCCCAGTTCCCTGTCCCAAGTTCCCTGTTGCCAGTTTGCTGCCCCCAGTTCCCTGTCCCAACAAGTTCCCTGTCCCCAGTTTGCTGCCCCCAGTTCCCTGCCACAGTTCCCTGTCCCAGTTCCCTGCCCCCAGTTCCCTGTCCCAAGTTTTCTGTCCTGAGTTCCCTCTCCGCGCGTCCCTGTCCCCAAGCCGTTCCTTTTCCCTAATTCCCTTGTAGGCCTTGATCAGCGACTTGAGGTTCTACATAGTCAGAGATCAGCCTCGTCTGAGATCCACCTGTAGGCCTTGATCAGCGACTTGAGGGCTTACATAGTTGGAGAATAAATTCAGGAAGCATGGAGTGAAAACGCCGCCCTCAAAGATACAACATTAAATCATTAGGGGTTACAGTAAGTGAAAACGCCGCCTTGAATGATGGCCCCAAGTCAGCTGCTTTGCAGGAGACGATGTTCTGGCAGCGTTCTGTAACCCAAGCTTTTGTTAATTCATCATTGAGGGCGGCGTTTTCACTTAACCACTAATGATTTAATGCTGCATCTTTGAGGGCGGCGTTTTCATTTCATGCTTCCTGATTTGACTTTGATACCACCAACATTGAGCAGGGCGGCTGCTTTTTTTCTTAATGCTTTGTCTGAGATCAGCTCTGTCTGAGATCAGCAGTTTCGTTTTTTTTTCGGAAGGTTGAGCTGGGACATTAACATTGAGCAGGCTAATGCTTCGTCTGAGATCAGCTAGCTCTGTCTGAGATCAGCAGTTTCGTTCTTTTTCTGAAGCTTGAGCTGGGACACCAACATGGAGCAGGGTGGCCTGATTTTATTCTCCAACTATGCAGGCCCTCAAGTCGCTGATCAAGGCCTGCAGGTGGATCTCAGACGAGGCTGATCTCCAACTATAATATGTAGAACCTCAAGTCGCTGATCAAGGCCTACAGTCGATCTCAGACGAGGCTGATCTCCAACTACTGTATGTAGAGCCTCAAGTCGTGGGGGCAGCAAAATGGGGACAGGGAACTTGGGACAGGGGACTGGGAACTGGGGGGCAGGGAACTGGGCGGCAGGGAACTCCTCTCAGGTTTGCAGCTGCTGCATGCTCCCACTGGGCCTTGGCGTACAAGACACCTTCGGCTCCGCAGCCATGTTCTAGACTTGTGTGCTGACCTGCTGACCAAGGCGGTGACCACGCCTCGGGCTTGGGATGCATTTGCTGCTGCTGTTGGTTTGGCTCCGGTGAACACCGACGTCCCTCCTGAAGGTCATGCGCCGTCTCGGATGAAGAAGTTGGCGCTTGGGGCAGCGGTTGCGTTGGGACTGCTAGTGATGGCTCCTGGCTTGGGCACTGCAGTTCGCGCAGCTTCGGTCGTCTGGTGCAGGTGGAGAGATCAGAGAGACCCAGTCCACAGAAGCACGAAGCACAGAAAGTACAGTGACACCGCTTTTGAGCAAAAATGAGACAGAAACGAAAGACGAAGCACTTCAGGCGCGACCAGTTTCCAAGGCAGGAAAGTCGCAAACTAAGGGTTGAGAAGTGATGCGCGCTCAGCCGAGCTCTTTGCAGCCGTTCACAGCGGCACAGCGGCGGCGACCCAGCTGGAGCCCCAGGGCGTGCGTCCGAGCCCTTGGAGAGCGCCAAGTGCTGCAAGCGCAAATCACAGCGGCGCAGCGGCGGCGACCCAGGAGCCCTGGGCGTACATCCGACCCTCTGAAGAGCACCGTGTGCTGCGCCTGCCACGCCACGCAAGAGGCGGCGAGCCAGGAGCGCCAGGGCGTGCGTCCGACCCACGCAGTTCCCAGCGGCGCAGTGGCGGCGACTCGACCCACAGGAGCCCCAGGCCCGTGTGTCCGACCCCTTGGAGAGCGCCAAGTTCTGCGCCTGCCACGCAAATCACACGCGGCGGTGACCCAGAGAACGCCAAGCCTTTTGCGCGGCGGAGCCCCAGGGCGTACGTCCGACCCTCTCAAGAGCACCAAGCGCTGCGCCTGAGTACATCCGACCCCTCGGAGAGTGGTTGGTGGTTGGTGGTTGTTGTTGGTGGATGTTGTTGTTGGTGGTGGTTGTGGTTGTGGTTGGTTGTTGTTGTTGTTGTTCTTGGCGGGGGTGGTGGTCGTGGTAGAGGTGGTGGTGGTGGTGGTGGTGGTGGTGGTGGATGTTGTTGGCTGCTGGATGTTGTTGGCTGGTGGATTTGGTGGTTGTTGTTGGTGGTTGTTGTTGGTGGATGTTGTTGGTGGTTGTTGTTGTTGTTGGTGGAGTGTCTGCACGTTTCCTAGCTATTTCACACGGATCTGACGTCCATCCAAAACCCTCTCCAAAACCTTCGCCCAATGTGAGTGCCATAGCGCCCCGCCCGCGGACGGTAGCAAACGGTTGCGGTCGCTTACGACAACGAGTCGCGAACAAGGCTCCCAGAGTTAAGTGAGAAACCTTCCCTACGCATTCGCAAAAAAAACAATGGATACGAGGCGCTGAAAAAGAAGCACGCTGAAGCTTTGAGGCAGGAGAATGAGTGCAAATCCAAGTGAAAAAAGATCGAGACATTGAGCCCCTGAAGGAGGACGTGAGTGGAAGATCAAGTAGATGAGTTGAAGAGGGAAGCAAGTGATTGGGCGTTTGGAATATTTCCCCACATTGACGTGTGGGGTTTCTATTTTTTGTCTGGTATCCGCTCCTCCGTCCTCCTCCTCCTCCTCCCGCTTGCCACCAACCCATTGTCATCATGCAACAAACTGTCACCAACACATTGCCACCCACCAATTGTCACCAACCAATTGTCATCAACAAATTGTCACCCACCAATTGCCACCAACCAATTGCTACCCACCAATTGCTACCAACCAATTGCCACCAACAAATTGTTACCAACAAATTGCCACCCACAAATTGTCACCAACCAATTGTCATCAACAACAAATTGTCACCAACCAACTGCCACCAACCAAGTGCCACCAAAAAATTGTCACCAACCAAATCTCACCAACCAATTGTCATCCACCGATTGTCACCAACCAATTCTCACCAACCAATTGCCACCCACCAGTTGTCACCAACCAATGTCATCAACCGATTGCCATCAACCAATTGTTCCCAACGAATGTTCTACCAACCAATTGCCATCCACCACTTGTTTTCTCCACTAGGGGGATGTCACTGTGATTTGCGTGGCAATTGTTTTCTCCAGGGGGTCGGATGTACGCCCCGGTGCTGGCCGATGCTGGCCGGGGCTGCTGGGTCTCCGCGGCTGTGCCGCTGTGATTTGTGTAGCGTTTGTGTCTGTGCTGCTGCGATTTGCATGGAATGGGCCGTACTTTGGTGTTTTCCAGGGGGTTGGATGTACGCCCTGGTGCTGCCCGGTGGATGATTTCTGCTCCTCGACGTGTACATACGTAATCCTTCAACTGCACATTGCATCACCATTCACACACACACACCCACCTATTAACATACACACGCGGACACGCGACAACCCGTCAGACAACCACCAAGCGACAATCACCATCCCCATCCACTTCCAAACAACAACCACCAACCAACCGCCACTCCCTCCCTCTCCCTCCTCCCGACGCTTCTCCTGTGCGAAGTTGGTAACATGTGGGGTCATCCGGTCCTATATCTTTTTAAAGGCAAACTTCACGATTGTCACGACTGAGAAGCATGAATCAGCATGAATGGTGCGTCACAAACAGAGGAGAATGCTACCATAGCAAAACCTGCGGAATCGTGGTGAATAAGGTCACCAGAAGATGACGACAACGACGACGACAAGTGAGGTGTTTGGGTTAGCCGCCGCGTGAGCAGCCCGAAATGACGTTGTCCAAACTGCAACCCGGTCCGTGGTGCCGTTGCATCGGGACAATGCAACAAAAACGAATTGCGATCAGAACCCATGATCCGGAAGATGGCTCCTCATCCTTTGGGGCGTCCCAGTGTGCTAACACAGGTCGTCCTTGTTGGGGTACCAAAGCGTGCAAGGTACCCCGAGCTGAGGAAGAGGGGGCAACCTCGGGGGTGAGCGTTTCCTATCATTTTATGAGAATCATTGACCTTTACTCTCTCGATGTTTTTCGTGATTTGTCAACATGCCAACATTGGCCACAGGCCTCACACCCAGAAACGACAGGCCCAAAATAGATCTATATACATGTTTTCAGTCTTTGCTGTTGGTTGTGTTGGACCTGCAATAACCCCCCTTGCAACCAACCAGGGCCCAAGCATGTCATTTGTTTCATTGAAGTGATGATGGCCACCCTTGCACTTCATCCCAGACACTTTCCCAGCATGGCCCTTCATGTCCTTTTCTTCTTCCCTCTTACTTCTTCATTTTCGTTTCCGGTTTTCATCCGAACTTCAAACCCTTCATCCCGGGATCATTGGCACCTGGGATTTTCGTACTGATGTCACTGGTGAGAAACAGGTTGTCCTGTTGCCACTCCCATGCTGTTTGGATTTTCCGAACGAACCAGGTTTCTGCATCGACCATGGGTTTTGGACCCAAAAAAGCAAGCTTTGGTGCCGACGAACAAAATTCAACGAAGCCGGGCCGCGACATGGCATGTTTCTTTCAACAACAACCGTAAGCTGTAGGGTTTTTGTTTTGAACCAAATACATGTGTGTGCAAACTCGTGATGTCTTTTGCAACTTTGCGCTGCTTTTTGGGATCGGACGTGGCGTGAGTTGATTGGCCCTCCTGAAACATGACCAAGGCGATGGTATGAACGTGATGCAAGTGATCATGCATAGGTCTGATTTATCATTAGGCTCAGGCATTCAAACAGGTTCGCCAGTTTTTTGGTGAAGTTTTGTTTCGGTTTTCCGGATGACTCCCGCTTCCAGGTTGATGTCGACAAACCCTCCGCCATTCGACCACTTCATGACGAGGCCGAGCAGACGGAGGGATCCGTTTGGAAAACACGAGACCTGTGCGTTGCTGCGACTGTCTCGCAGGTGGCTTCTCGTTACAAGGAGTTGGTGCGGCGAGAGCAGGCCTGGGAACGGCCGCCTGTGGTTTAGCCGACCCAGAGAATGGTGACATTTTGGAAACGCTCAAGAGGCCAATGTTGGCTGTGTGAGGTTAGTTTGCTCTTTTGTGAACGATTTCAATGCATCATCCAACACTTTCCATCGTTTTATCGCCATCGATTTGCCAACATTTGAGGCTTTGGCTGCACGAGAAAAGCTAGCCGCAGAAGTTTGTCAAGCACAGGACAGTCAACCCATCACGGCTGTCGCTTGCAACCGGTGTTTCTCCGTCGATCCGAGCGGTTCGATGACCGGTCGGTCTTGTTCGATGACCGCGCAGGAGGAGAGAGAACAAGATTTGGAAGAGTTTGCTGTGCGATTGCAGCAGCAGGAGGAGGTGAAGACGCTATCCACTCTTTTGGATCTATCCATTTTTGTTTCTCTTGAGCTGTGGAAACCTGTCGTGCCGGTTTCGTGACGTCGCGCTCAGTCTGTATGTCCTTCGGTGTTGCTCCACGGGGCTGCTCCGCAAACCTGGACCCTTCGAAACGAAGCGAAGCCCGAGAGTCTCGAACTTCGACTCGGACGAGCCGGACTCCACCTGGTCGGACAAATCCATCCAAATCCATCCATCGGATGTTTGGGGGCACCTAGAAATGAGAAATTTCTTTTTTTTCGCTGGACTCTCAGGCAAGTCATCCCTGCACCGCCTTTCTTGGCTCGTGAGCCCGCGAGTTCGAGAGCAGAGACCCCCCGGCCGCGGTGTCACAAACCGCGGATCCCACAAACCGCTCTCCGATCCAACGAGCCATGCCGCGGAAGCCCATTGTGGGTGGAAACTGGTGCCTCGGCCGTTCTCGCCGTCGTCCCGTCCCGGTGACCGATCCGCCGTCCGTGATCTGATCCGTGATCCGCCGACGTGATCCGACTTGGTCAAATAGGTATGAAACAGGTGGGCCAAGTCGAAAGGCACCTTTTGGGCGAGGTCTCTGAAGTTGAACGACAGAAGGGGCACGGCAGGCACATGAACACTTGCAGAGGTGCTTCTTTCAGGGTTCCAGAGTGGACCCACGACACACGACCCTGAGGAAGTGCAACCCCAAGACGCTTGAGGAGGCTCTCAAGCTGATTGGGGATTGGAAGAACCAGGCGCTGGCAACGTTATCGTTGGGCCCGTGAGCCCAACGCTCCTGGACCAACGCCTCCGCTCGGTGCTCACCAGGTTCCATTCGACAAGAGGAAGATCGATGTGTTTGCTTGCCCGATGATGTGCGCAAGTCAGAGAGCTGTGGAACTCAAATTCGATTGGAGACTTGAACAGTCGTTACATACATGTCTTCACATTCTCTTGAATCTGAAAAAGGATGTGCACAATTCAACAACAATTGCGATTTGAGAAGAGCTAATTTGATTCCCATTTGTTTGCTGATTCTAGTGATGTCACTGATGTCAAAATCGAGAGGCCCCATTTGCTGAAAGTCAAGTTGCCCATGGAGAAGTTGGGCATCTCTGCCTGTGCCCAGAACTGTCCATGGCCTCAGAGTAGAAACAAGAAGCTACTAGTAACAAGTGCCACGCTAGTAGTAACAGGTGCCTTACTAGTAGTAACAATGTTTGCTATTTAATGTAAACGAAATTAATAGCAACCATTGTTACTCAGTCATGTGCATTGCATCTTCGCCACACCCGGACCCGGTCCGATGCGAGCACCCGTCGGTGCGGCGGACGAGGCAGCAAGACCGGAGAAGGAGCTTTCACCGGAGAGGTCAGCGCAGCGCAGCTCAAGGATGCTCGAGTCCAGTGCGGCCTCCGTGAGGGAGAGGACCGGCAACGCGAAGCTCCTTCTTAGGTCTTCAGTGGGAGGTAGATGTAGGATGATGTAGGTTTGGTATGGTTCATTTCATGAAACTGCGGGACATTGGAGATCGCCTTCAGTAGGTTTCCCCGCAGCCAGCACCTGATGGTCGCATAATATCGCATGCATTTTGTATTGTAAGAAATTCTGTATCCTAAAAGCTATGGGTGGACATGAACTCGCACATGAGATTGTTGCCTCCATAGAATAGCTTCAGAAGATAGTCCAGCCCACCAGTTGACCGCCTGTTTCCAAGTGCTGGCGGGTTTGAGACGAAGATATGCCAGGCTCAAAGTCTTTTGAGAAAGGTCCAATAGCTTTGCACAAGGTCTGAATGACGTGCTGCCCATCCTTTGCATTCTCTATATAAAAGGCATCATATTTACATCCAGTCCTTCAATCCGAAAGAAATCAAACACTCTTCGTTCGCTCCAAGTTGGTCGGAGACACCTTGTTTACTACATGCCATCCTGGCCATCCTCCTGGTTCTTCAAAGTGACCGTACTTGATATCCCGGTTTGAGGTCACTTGGGCCTGCAAAAGCTCACTTAGGCACTCCAAAAAGGTCACTTTGAAGCTGGCTGTGCTTGTCCGAAGTCTGCCTAGTTGCAACAGTAGCTGGACATAAGTAGCAGCTCTTAGCGATATCGCTATGGCCCAAGTATGCCACATTTGCTTCTTCCACGACCCGTTCGCTCCGATCCCACCGAGGTGGACCCTGCTGGGCCACTCCGAGCGCCGCTCCAAGTACGGCGAGACCGACGAGGAGCAGCAGCACCCTGTTCACCTTCAGGGCGTGCGCTGTGTTTTTGTGTTTTTTGGAGCCCAAGGGCTTCAAAGGAGTGAAGACCGCCGTTGGGTGTGAGACCGTTCATGTGCCCCTTCGTCTGCGATCGGTGGAGCTTCGAGGACGTGGCCGAGAAGGTGTCGCAAGCCTTGGCGGCCGGACTGAAGGTGCGTGGTCCACCGTGTGGGGAGATGGATGGGAAATGGGACATTTTAGATTGGAAGGCGGGGAAAAAGGGGATGAAGCGTTAATTGAGCCTTTCTTTTCTTCAAGGACGCGACCAGAAGAATGCGTCCTTCCTTCCTTCCTTTGAAAAAAAAAGAAGAAAACAACCGGTTCTCGGATCTCCTGGAGGTCGTCCTGGCCATTGGTGAGCTCCTGGAGGAGCGTGAGGCGAGTGTTCGGACAGCTGTTCGCCCGGGCGATCCGACGGAGGACGCGCCGCGGCGTGGCGTGGAACGATGTTGAAATGACCTTCCCCAGTGGACATGGAAAGGCCGGGGTAAACAATAAAGCATCAAGACTTCTAACCTGGTTCTTCAAAGTGACCGTACTTGATATCCCTGTTTAAGGTCACTTATACACTCCAAAAAGGTCACTTTGAAGCTGGAAGAGTCTACTTGATACCGGCCACCGGTTTGGTCTTTTGGTTCATCGAGGCCCGGCCTTTCGAGGCGCCTGGCGCTCGCTTCTCGAGGCCGGCAAGACCAACGAGGTGAATGAGAGGATGCTGAAGCCCGTCATCGACAAGGTGAAAGCAGAGGAGCGAAGGAAGGGATTGGAAGGGATTGGCGGCAGAGGCGGAGGAGGCGGAGCGGAACAGGGGACAGGCCGACTTGTGCGACTCGTGCGACTCAAGTGGATCCACTCTGAAGCATCTCAAGCTAGGAACCAAGGTTGGAGTCACTTTTGTTTGGATCCACTGGGTGTTTCAAGCTCATGAGCTGAGCATCACAGAAACCAGATGAGCTTTGCGCAAACGCTTTCCTCCGAGAAATGCCCTTACATACTAGCTGTCTAGTCTCAGCACCCGCGCGAACAGACGGTTAGCATCCGACCCGTCCACCGGACATCACTCGTCCGATCCACGTCCAGGACTGGAGCAAGATCGTCATTGCCTACGAGCCCGTTTGGGCCATCGGCACGGGAAAGACCGCCACTCCCGATCAGGTGCGCCGTTCCGTGTGTGTATGCGCCGCTCATGTAGAGCGGATGTATGCGGTGATCATGGTGTGCACACGTCCTCCGTGTGTGCCCTGACTGACCATTTTCTATCCATTTCTGTGTGCCTCCAAAACCCCTGACGAACGCCCATCGCGCACGCATCGAGGCGGAGGAGACGCATGCGGCCATCCGCGCGTACATGGCGAAGGCTGTGAGCGAAGAGGTGGCTGAGAAGGCGGAGCACGACGTTGTGTCGATGCCGAAGCTCCGTTCAACGGTTCGGTTCGCGTCCGAAAGGGGAGCCTTTTTCCTTTTTTTGCGTGCAGGTGCGAATCCAGTATGGTGGCAGCGTCAGCCTGGACAACTGCCCGGATGCCACAGCTCAGACAGTCTTTTTTCCGGTGCTCGTCGTGTTCTCAGTCCGAGTCCGAGTCCGAGTCCGGACTCGCGACGGACTCGCGTTCGCGTCGCGTGCGGTTGTGTTCAGGTGCTGAACTCATCAAGAAGCCCAACATCGATGGCTTTCTGGTGGGAGGCCGGTCTGTCCCTTCGCACCGAGTGGAAACTGAGACTACCTGGTGACTATCTGTGCCAGGCGCATCTTTAAAGCCTTCCTTCATGGAGATTGTGCAGCTGCTTTGACTGAGACTTTTGAATGGAGTGCACGATGTGTGCAACCATTTTCTTCGCCGCGTTTGACCGAGACGATGTGTTTCATGGTTTTTGCGGCCGAGGAAGAGCACTCCTCCACCCGTCCTGAAGAAGCCCAAGTGGTCGAAGAGCACAGATCTGAACCCCACCACTAAGGCGGAGTTCTGCTTCGTTATTTTGTACTTCTGAGACTTCTTCTTTTGTTCCAAAACCCTTCACGTTCTTGATGTTATACTTATTCTTTTTTCTTTTGCCGTTTTGCTTCAATGTCGAAGAAGGCTTTGCACGTCTCGTGCTATCTGTGTCTGAAGACATGTGTCTCACGTGCTCTTGGATCTAGGCGGGAGAGTGGGGAGAGTGGTTTGTGGTTCTGGGGGGGAACAGTTCCTACAAAGCAGTTTTAGCCCCCCCCACATTTGTTCGATGGCAAAGTGGACATTTAGCAGTTTGGAACGACCTAAACAGTTCCATTTTTTGCTTCACTTCGCGGGAAAGCGTGCCATCTCGACGGTGACGCCCTCGCTGAAAGCGCGGTTTCCGCGCGCGCAGAGCGCGCTCTGATCCGGCCATGGTTTGCGGCGATTGCGCTCGCCTGGCCGCGGGTACAGCGCTTCTGACTAAGCTCTGGCGTAAGCTGCGCTTGGGACAGAAAAACTCTATGGGCTCCTTGTCTTGACACAGTTTATGGGTCTAAGACTTCAAACGAAGAGACATGACACGTCTCCTCGCTTTGGGTCGCCGTGGCCGATGGTCGACGTCAGGCTTGCTCACGACGCTTTTCGTGGTTCGTGCCGCGCAGCTTGGACAGCTGCAGCGCTGGGAAGGCTGGGAATGGTCGTTCGCTCCACACAGCCGCCGTTCGGTTTCGGCTTTTCGGTTTCGGCTCAGTTCTGGCTTCCAAGCTCTCTGACGACCCGTTCTGGCTGTCTGCGGCCTTTCT